TTGCTAATTTGCAGTAAGGAGCCGTGATCAGCACTTCTTCCGAGCACCTGTTAGCTGCAACAGCTGAGACGCCTTACAGACACCAACAAGCTGCAGCAACGGGCCTCTAAAAGTGGCTTAGCTCAGACTTGACCTACATTTGCCCCCTGGGAATGTTGTTACTGTTACCTCCTCTGTACACTACCGTACAACCACAGCGGGTCGACATTAACTTCTGGTCACTGAGCGTCACCACTGACGGATAAAGGGAATGTGGATTTTGGGGGAATATATTTATCTGTTGATCTATCTGTTTGAAGCTGGAGCCAGAAGATGATCAACGTCAGTTTGTGCCTCTCGTGTATTAGCATACATTCAGGTTTCTTGATGTTTGAAAAACCCAGAAGGTCACTTAAGAGTCCAGAATCTGTTTCCAAATCAAATCGGCAGCCTGTACCTGGATAAGAAACAGCGTCACAGCTTTTGGAAACCAGATGGTCAGAAGAGTCTTTGAGGGTTTTTAAACAGTGTTTCAAACATCACTGATTGATTATCTGTTAGAGATATATATATTTATAATAGAGAGAGAAGCTGGGGGCTAGGAGATGGTTAGCTTAGCTTAGAATAAAATGGTTATTCTCTCTCCAAAGGTAAAACCAAAACCTCTCTTGGATCATTTAAGGATTAATAAATGAGATATAACATGTTAGTGAGCTTTACAGGTGCTGGTAGGTGGATCTTTTATACCTATAGACAGCACCAGGCTAGCAGCCTCTACACTAAGCTAAGTTAATCATCTCCTGGCTGCAACTTTATATACTAAACAGATTGATACGAGAGTGGTATCTTCTCATGTACCTTTTCAGAAAGAAAGCACATGATCATATTCCCCAAAATGTAAACCTGTTCCTTTAAACGCCATCAAATATGTGAATGCAGAGCTGTGACCTGTTGGCCCTGTGGTGGTGCAACAACGGGAGCGTTCCCTTTGAGCAACGTTACTCTCCCACGATGTTCAGATGCCAACCAGGGAGCGTAAGGAACCAGCCAAGGAATGCCAGTTAAAAGCCAAGTCAGTAGCCCAATCCAGCGAACCAGACTATGTGAACCAAAAGGCTCAGCAAAGCAATCATTTACCAAGAAGTAATATTAGAGTAATAAGGAAAAGCCGCTTATCAGGGGATCCATCAGTTGCCAGCTTCAGTAAAAGACATATAATAAACCTCAACGGCCTCTTAGTGGTCTGATTTTATAGTACTTTTTTAGGACTATTAGTCCTGCACCACAGAGATCTTTAGCTCCTTCTCAGACCTCTCGGCTACTTCTGTCTTGTTATGGCTTAAAGGCTTAACTGCACATGCTCAGTCACCTCCATATTTGTCAGATAAATGGAAACTTCCGTGTCCTAAAACGTAGTTAAGTCAGGCCCTGATTGCTATATAGGTCATGCATCGTTAAACATTATAAAACTGCCTTCCAGCCTCAGTATTCATCTGTGTGAAATGTAAAAGGCTATATAGATTGTTGCCATGGTTTAAAATCTGGATCTCGAGTTCTTCCACTGAAGCATTTTATAAGGAAAGAGACGGCGCCTACTTGGTCTGCCAGCTCGATTTAACCACTATTTTGGCTTTTTCGACTCAACAGCTTCTTTTTTTTAAACTTTAATCCATTGACACCATCTGACGAAGAACACAAACACTGTGTTTGAAAAAAAAATCAGCTTGGAGGAGTCACTAAAAGTGGACACCTGTGTTGCACCGCCACTGTGATGCTCTACTGGAGCAGAAGGGGGTTAAAATGCATGAGTTGGAAAAAAAAAACAGTGCTGACGTGGAAATTAATGGGATTTGGATGAGCTCAATAATACGTGTGTCTGAATGTGTGAAAAGAATAATGGGATGTAAATTTGTTTGGATGCGTTGCCCATTTACACTGGAGGAAAATCTAGACATTCCTGTTCCCGTCCAGTGAGGACCACAGGGGCATGGAGCAGCACTCTGTCCGATTGTATCATACAAGTAGAGCGGAGAAAGGGAGAGAGAGAGGGATGAAGAGGGGAGAAGGTGAAAGAAAAGAAGAAGCAGATTGGGAGAGAAAGTAGTTCAAAAACAGAGATTGACTTAAATAAAAAAGGACAACGAGAGTCAGTGGTTTTGTGTGTGTGTGTGTGTGTGCGGAGGCGGTAGGAAATGAGGGGGCTGAAGATTTACAGCTGTAAGCGTCCAGACATTCAGACTTAAATGGGAAAAGACCTCTTGGCTATGTCTGCAAGAAGATGACTTATATCCATTGAGTGACTCAGTGGGCTTATGAATGACTCTGTGTGTGTGTGGGTGTGTGGGTGTGAGAGAGCGGCGGGAGGGGATTCTCGAACCGCAGCATCTTGGAGTCATCGCTATTTTCATGCTGATTCAACATATAAACTGAAGGGGAGTCCGACCTTATCTGTTCGCTTACTGCGGGAGTGTATGGTTAACAGTTAATGTGACCTACTTGTGCTTTTAGTTTGTAGTTCGTATCTGTGAGCTTTATATGCAATATTGGATATACAAGGTCCTGTCTTGGTGCAAAACAAAGACAATCTGTTCGATCAGATCCAACTCATCGATGCCAAGTAATACCAGGTGTGTGTAAACCTGAACTCAGTTCAAACAGATGTAGGGTCACCCTGAGGCTGAAGATGTTATATTTTGCCAACACATGAGCTACAGCTGCAAAGATGCTGAGTTTGTAGGTTGTAGATGCCATTACCCTAATTCTTTAAATCCTTTCTAACAAGGATATTTTCATGCTGTTTTCTTAGCATTAAGTTAGCTGAGACGTACCAGCATTGCTATACACACGGCTTTAGAAACACAGAGGTACAAAAAAAACTGAACTTGCCTGGGGAGGTAGAGTAGAGTGGAGTAATTACTAACTGGAAAAAGGTCCAGACCTTGGTGACCTCAGTGGTGGGTACAGCCATCCTCACCAGAGGTGGCAGTAAGAAGTAAAGGCACTACTATGGACACAAATCTGACAAAAAGTGTCTTAAGTTAAATAAAAACCCTGCAATATGCGTCATAATTCAGTCGAATCTGAACCCACAAACATGATTTCTGATAATTCATCACAAATAAACATCTGCTTGGAAATTTCATTAGAAATTACAGCAGAAATAACTAAAAGGGCTTATTTCAAGGTTCAAGTATGTTTGATAAGAATAGGACACATTTACTGGAACACTTAACTTGAGTTTGCAATCAATCCTGCTAATCTGTAAACAAGCGCCCACATTTACTTACACAGTATCTGACTGAAGTCTGGCCCGAGGCCATCAAGCATCGGTTTTACAGATAAAGCTAATAAAAACACACCTGTCTGTGTGTGTGTGTGTGTGTGTGTGTACTAACGTGTGCCTTAAAACACCCCTGGGTTCACAGCTCTCTCAAGTACAGACTCATGTACGCACAAGTTGGAGCACATGAATGTAGACTTTAATAGCAGCAGCTCAGTGGTGGTTTTTGTGATGTACTGCAGATGGCGTGAGTCAGAAAGTCATGTTTGTAAGGGAGGTCAAAGCCTCGGCCACAGAGCCACAAACACTTTAATTCATCTCCGCACCAACAAATACCTCTCCACAGATGCTAAGAATAAAGAAAATAACGCATACAAACCTCCTCTAAGTCCCCGTTACTCAGACAGTAAAGTCTTTAGAAAAGACGTTGAACAGCCAGAGCTGCAGCGTCAACAGTGTCAGGTACAAACTGAGAAAAATGAGGTGTCTCACTTATTTTCCAGCACTGCTAACGGCTGTCTACCACCCAATCCATCATACAGTATGTTCCAGTTGCCAAGAAAATGTATGTACATGTATATGATTAATACTCACTGTCTTATTAAGTGTTTTATCGTTGGTTAAAGGGTACACTTAAGTTCAGTGATTGAGCAGATGAAATAGGCCATAAAGTTAATATTGGAAGCGTATATATACATATTATTGTTATTATTATTATTAAAAACAGCACACCTGCTGCTTTTAATCATAAAATGGTAAAAGCCACTGAGGGAATCCTTGAAAAATGTTTAGCCCCAAAAAACGACCCATGTGATGAGTTCAAGGACCTGAAACTCATCACCCAATAATTTCATCCATCTGTCGAACGCGTCTGAGGTAAACTGTAAAAGCATTCAGCAAAGAGGTGTTGTCACTTGACGACCCGGAGCCTGTGTCTTGTCAACTGTCCATCTGGGGTTGTTTTAATTCAACACACATGCTTTAAGTATATATTTGATGAGTGTTGCTCTCTCCCAAGAGCTGAGGAGGGTTTTTATTTTTTCCATTACGATGACAAATGCGCCCAATTAGTCCCACCCAGAGGTTCAGTTCTGCACCAAGTACCCCACAGATGTTTCTCAGCTCGCTGTAACTGAGCAGATTCCTTCACGTTGAAACCATCCTCCATCTGTTCTTTAACCGGGGTCAGAGGAGCTGGCCGCACACACACACACACACACACACACACACACACACACACACACACTTTTCACTAATATCCTAAATATATAATGTATGGATTTTAAATTATAGTTCGGATTTATCAGTTGATATATGAAGTAGAGTAAAGGAGTGGTATTCACTTGGCACCAATGGATGCAATTTACCTGTTTTCTATTAACATTTTATATATTTTTAATCATTTTGTGAGGAAATATTGGCCCTATTTTACAAAACACTTCAACTAAAACAAATCTAAATTGATTTAATCCAAACTAAAGTTCAGAAAAAAAGCTTCTAAAGCTCCTTTTAGTGAGAACTTTTCCTTTATTTGAGTGTGTGAGAGAATTTCTGGTCCAAAAATGACTTGACAAAGCCAAATATTACAAATATTCTAATACCATGGAGGTTATATACCAATAAACGCCAATTTTTTCTACAAAACAATAATCTTTTAGGGGATTTCATGATAAATCAGTGCTGATAAAAACTGGATTTTCTTCCTCCAGAACAAATATAAAGTGAAATTCTTCTCTCTTACCTTGGAGATGTATGCTTTGATGCCTTCGGCCAGTTTGATGCACGGCTCTCCGAAGAGCTGGGCCAGCTGGTCAGGGATGTCCTGGTCCTTATCCAGAGCGTTCAGTAAACTCAGACACTTGAGCTCCTCTGTGACACCCTGGCTCCGCACCTACAGAACAAACAGAACAAAGCATTAACACAGGGGGGTCAGATATTAGATATACACCATATCTCTGCAGGATGTTGGTCAATACCCGTAGTGTAATTATTAAATGCCGCCTTTATGTTTTCTAGCTGTTTTTGGACCGCAGGCTCCAAACCCAATTACGGCGGTTCAAATCTCTCACTGGCAGAAGATAATATGTACAGTAAATGAATAAAAAGCGCTCTATATACCCTTTCCCATCAACTACAATGCTGCCTGTGTGTGCCCTAATGTATGTTAACAAGTGGAACCGAGCAGTCTCGATATAAAGTGCATCTCTAAAAACTGCTGGCGCCCCCCAATTACAGAGCATTCACAGATATTATAAGAGCTTTTGCATCTTTCAAGGACAATCACAGCACAGAACGTGTCCTTAATCCCTGCTAGTATATTTATTTACGACATTTAGATGAATCAGACCATAAACTCCACCACAAAAACCTCTTTGCCATCCAGGTAATTTGGTAAGGAAGAGATTTTTCTTACAACAGAGCTCTACAACAACAATTTAAGTGTTGATTTTGCTCCTATAAATTTATATAAACATTACTTTTATCTATTTTTTATTGCCTCTTTGGACATTCACACGTCATTTATTCTGCTGCTAAATCAAATTAACTGTTGTCTAGAGAGCCATCACTCTCTCTGCACTTTAAATGTCTGTTTTCCTCTCGCATTAGTTTAATATTAGTTTGTTTTTGCAATCTTATTTTGCAGCTTTTCCGTTTACTTTCTGGATTTTGTGCACATTTCCCCTAAAGATGCTTCCACTCATGTGTAAGTGTAACTGTCCTTGACTGACACGGCCTATTTGTTTTACAGTGAATTGTAGACCGTCAAAGAAAATAAAATAACATCCTGGATGTTATATGAACCGTTCTGAAATTGGGAATGAGACAATGTCCTGGCACACGGAGGCCGCCAGGATCAGGCAGCTGAAACACAACTCCTTATGTAACGACCCTGAAGAGTTTCTCCTGGGGTGAACCGAACTGAACACACGCACACACTCATAGTGCATCCCTATCAAGACATCTAATAAGAAATAATTAAGTCAACAATTCCTCTGGGGGGGGCGAAGGGGAAATAATTTCTTTCCCCTTTCGCTACGCCTCCCGTTTGGTAGCGACCTCCATCTGAATTAAAGAAATGTTTTCATGTAATTTTGGGCAGCACGGGTCGAATAAGACATCTTTGGGAACTAAAATGTGGAGAGAGGGTTGTGTAGCTCGCAGGCTGTGGTGGAGTTTGTGTGTGTGTGTGTGTGTGTGTGTGTGGGTGTGTGTGTGTGTGTGTGTACCCTTCAGGGAGGTTGTAAGCGTCATGGTCTGAAAACCCGGCTAATGACTCTATAACAAGCGCTGATGAGGAGAGAGAGATTACAGAGCTGCACTCCTTCACCCCTTGTTCTTTATTTTTATTAATTTCTTTCCGCTCGACGTCCGTTTTCTAATGAAACCCACTCCTTTTATCCTCTTCCTCTTGTTTCTCACTCTTTATCCTTTCTTTGTCACTTTGCTTTCAGTCCCCCCCCCCTCAGCGATAGTGTTCATGTTGATGCATGAGCGGACTTCCCTGTTCCTCATGAAGATAGCAGTGTCTGTGTCTAAGCTTGTGTGTAAATTAATTCAGACCAAGCGGGGAAGAGACACAGGGCACTTACGGGAAAAGCAAAAAGGTTTCTTTAGACTAGAATGAGGCCACATATCAACAGTCTCAACACAATTCGCAGCCCTGAAAAGGATGACTCACGTATTTTAATGGATTCACATGTCTATTCGGTCTAATGAGTCTAATTAGATGCACATGTCGTTAGTCCAGTCGGTGCACATTCCTGTTACAGGCCAACTTTGGGAGGCTTGTAATATCAAATAAGGGTCAAATAGACAAAGTGCATGAAGCTGAGAAACATGTCTGAACTTTACATGCCCCCCAAAATCTAGAAATGTCAGTAAACTACACACAACATGCTCAAGCACAAAAGCAACGCTGTATTTGATCCTTTTTATTAACAAAAGGTGCCGTTTTTCTTTTGGCTTTGGGTCTCCTTTTGTTTTATTTCTTCATTTTGGCAGAGGAATTTCTGCACCTGGGGTTATAATTTAATTGGGACAACATCACAAATCTAAAGCTGGAACAATCTTCCCTATTATAGCCCGATTTGGAAGTTGTACCACATTATTATAAAGTTTAGCATATGTCCCGCATTCAAAGTATCAACAGAACTCATTGTTATATTGTTATTTAACATATTATATTGGACTACTTTTACTGACACTTTAATATTTAAGCAGCATTTTAATGTACCTGGGTTGAGCTGGAGCCAGTTTATATACTATTGGGTAATTGAATCTATTATAATGCATTTAAAAGCTTATCAGGCTTTAGATGCACATTTTTAATTGTTATATTAATGTGGTGTGTGAGTAAAAAGTACATAATTTCTCTCTGAAATGATGTGGCTTAGCTTAAAAACCATATCCATCCAACTCCTCCTCTGTCTGTAAGTGAGAGAAGAGGAAGCACAGTCGGTCGTCATAGATCATCTGCATGCAGTCGGGACACATCTCAACAAAAACTGCTGACAGTGGAGGTCTGGACAAAGACAAGGGAGTGGGGGGGTGTGTGACTACTGGCAGAAGTGTTGGGGAGGTTCACACATGCATGAGCGAGTGAGCTCACAAATGGAGTGAAAGTAGGCTTCCTTTCTTCCTGCGCCTCTGCCAAAACACACTCCCTGCTTTGGTGGTTCTGGTTGAAGGATTTATTGTTATTGAGGAGTGTCTTTCTGTATCCGTGAATAAAAGGTTAAGACTTAACAGCGCCGTGCGTATATGTGTTGTGTGTGTGTGTGTGTGCATGCATGTCTGTGCTTTTTCTGTGCATGTGTGTCCATTAAGGTTTTGACAGGGCCTGCAGGGAGTGTCTCTTCCATGTTAGTGAGAAGATAAAGCCTGTACACATCACTGCACTGAGCTAAAAACAAGATTAGGAGAAAACTCTCTGCTCCATTAGTGTATGGAGACGAGGCCAGAGGCTAAACCAAGCTATGTAGAGAAACATTAGATTTCAGACCGGAGGAACAGTTAAAGGGACCCCCTCGCTTTTTATGGTGTCCGCACTGCAAGAAGTAGGTTCTTTCAGAGCACAAGAGGAACCTTGAGTGAAGTTAACTGTACGGTCGGACACATGAGCCGATGCAGCACCAGCAACCACCATTTTTAATGTGTAAATTTAGCTCGTAACACTGGGCTTAAAAATGGAACGAAATACGGACAAATGGACTGACAGTGGAGTCCAGGGCTTTAGATGTTGTAGGTCATGCAGATGTGAAGTTGCTTTACCAACCACCGGTCAGCTTACGTCACTCCAGCTTTTTTATTGGGGGTGCCAATGCAAACAGTTTGGTCTAAAAACGCCTTATTCTCATCAAGTTAAATACTTTATTTCTCTGGGTTTAAGCTGCATAAAGAAACAGCTCCCTAAGTATAGGAAGTCAGAGATAATTTCGTCACTTTATTTATTAGAGTTCATCCTGAGAGGGACATAAATGTACTAAATTTTAATGGCAAAACACTTATTTTTTATCATTTACTGTTGAGTTTGTTGTGTACTGCCTTTTGTTTTGTAAATTGTATGTCGTGCTTTGGCTATAAATTTCGTTGTGTGTGTTTATGTCACTTCAAATAAGCAATAATTAAATGAAAGAGGATCGCCAAGATCATTAGGAGTCACCCTCTGGGCACCATGGACATGTGTGCCGAATTTAACAGCATACCAACCAATATCTGGACAGACATCGCCCTCCCTAGAGGCTGGAAAAAGTCTCTTCCCGGTGTAACAACTCACCAGGATTCAGGACTGTTTGAGTTTCATCACACTGAACATATTAGTGAGAGAGTTCAGGCTCATAGAAACATGTTTTATGTCAAAATTTATCTACGCTCATTTTCAAATGTGTCTCAGCAGTTGTTTCTAAATTCAATAGTAATGTAATGGCTCTCTGCCACGTGGAGCCGTCTGGTGTCTGGCTGTAACTGGAAGTCAGCACCATCACAGAGCCAAGCTGGTTCTTCCTCCTTCCAAGTTTGGTCTCCCTGCAGGATCTTTCCCTTCATTTCTCCCTCTACTTTTTTGATCCCGCTACAGCCAAACTCGGCAGCTCTGTCGGCTTGCTTTTCTGTCTCCCATTCCTCTCACATGACTCCTCCTCACATCGTCCTGTCGTTGATTTTGCATCATAGCGATGGCCTTACGCTTCCTTCTGAGGCCAAACAACTAATTTGATTCGATCCATTGCTCGCCTTACTCCTTGTGGTTTTGGTTTAGGAGAACTGTTGGAAAGCAACGAGGAAAATGTGAGATATTCTGTAGGCCAGTAGAGACATGCAAGCCTCCGGAGATTGTGGGGGGGGGGGGACTCAGCCTCTACATCATTACCATGCCCTGGAAGCATGCAACTGGAACTGCTCCACAGGTTTTAAACATGAACACTTAGAAGAAGACCCTCCTCCCACTGTCTCCTCTGGGTGCTCCTCTGACAGCAGTTCATCTCTGCCAAGTCCTGACTCCGCTTAGCCAAAATCCCAACGTTATAAAACTGGCCCCATTAGATATCATTTCAGGAACAAGTTACACCCCGATGATTCAACATTAACAAATCAATAAGCTGACAGCAGGTCAGCCTCAGCTGTTTAATACAAATGACTTCTTTCAAACACTTGATTAATTACTTTGAATTCCCAAACAAAGGTCTTAAGAGGAATCATAATCTCACTAGTAGTCCATTAACTGCTTTGTAGTTGTGCTGTTTTTCTCTTCAAGGTCCAGTGTGTAACATTTAGGATAATCTATTGGTAGAAAGTGAATATAACACACACATTGGACCTTTAAAACAACATCATTCCTCACAAAATGGAATATATAATCTATAGTAACTGTTTCGGTGCTTTCACACTAACTCT